CACAACACAACACAACACAAACAAACAAACAACAAACAAACAAACAAACACACAACAAACAAACAACCAAACAAATAAACAAACAACGCTCAGACGTCCTGTAAACGCGTTTTTTTCGTTCTTTCCCCCCTGTAATGGCCGCAAAAACGCGCAAATCATATGGTTTTTCACAGGTTTCAAGCAAGTCCAGCAAAGGGTGGGCCGGATGTCCGAGTGGAACTGCAAGAGCACGGCCTATCCGTAGGTGACTCCAAATCAAAACCTGTCATTTAAATGGTCGCACTCCCAGAACCATGTACAGAATTAAAAAGGCTGACACCCCCACCCATTAAATTTGTTGGCATTATCCCTTAACTTTCTTCTACCCGGGGTTCGAGCAAGTTGGTCAAGTGCCTCTCTGGCAAGCAAAGATGGTGCCGGCTCAGGGCGCCTGAAACCATCCCATCGAAGAAGGTACCTCCGGCACGGCCGGAGAGCCGGAGGCTCGTAAAAACGGTGTAGGGTGTGGAGTTTCGCGTAAAAAAACGGTCTTTGGGTGTGGGGGTTCGGGCGTGCTTACCATGTGGCCGGCATGGATGCAGTGCTGCGCGGGTGCACCTGAACGGGTGTTCTTACCATTCGGCGGGCATGGATTCCGTGCTGCGCGGGTGCACTTGAACGGGTGTTCTTACCATTTGGCTGGCATGGATGCAGTGCTGCGCGGGTGCACTTGAACGGGTGTTCTTACCATTTGGCTGGCATGGATGCAGTGCTGCGCGGGTGCACTTGAACGGGTGTTCTTACCATTTGGCTGGCATGGATGCAGTGCTGCGCGGGTGCACTTGAACGGGTGTTCTTACCATTTGGCTGGCATGGATGCAGTGCTGCGCGGGTGCACTTGAACGGCGTGCCTATCGTGAGTGTGAATTTCCATATAATTCCCGCGTTTTACGTGGTAGTGGCCGGACATGCACGAAACCTGTGAAAAACCATATGATTTGCGCGTTGTTGCGGCCATTACAGGGGGGAAAGAACCAAAAAAAGTGCGCGTTTACAGGACGACCGAGCCACAAACAAACAAACAAACAACACAACACAACACAACACAACACAAACAAACAAACAACAAACAAACAAAGAAACACACAACAAACACACAACCAAACAAATAAACAAACAAACAAACAAACAAACAACACAACACAACACAACACAACAAAACACAACAAACAAACAACCAAACAAATAAGCAAACACACATACAACCAACCAACCAACCAACCAACCAACCAAACAAACAAACAAACAAACAAACAAACAAACAAACAAACACACAAACAAACGACCAACAAACAAACAAACAAACATGCAAGCAAGCTAGCAAGCAAACAAACAAACAACACAGAAACAAACAAACAAACAAACAAACAAACACACAAACAATCAAACAAACACCCATCATGGTACACCGCCGGGCCTCATTTTCTCTAAGTCTACCTGGAGGCCGTTGGCGAAGGCATAGAGCGTCTCAGCGAAGACCCCAACGCGTCATGCGCAACACGTCATATGGGCGGCTGGTCCTTTCTTTGGGCGCCAACCATTGTTGGTGGTTTAAGGGGAAACTAAAAGAAGAATCGCCATTTTGGGGTTTTTAGAAACAGACAAACCAAATTCCATTGGACCACTAGGCTCAGAGAACCAGACCTGGCACCGCTTGGGAAAGCAACAGTCTCAACGTGTTGGACCAAGGCCTTGGCTGGCCCCCGAGTGAGCTCCATCTGTGGAGACACGGTCAATATAAAACAAATGGGTAAAAAACAAAACTAAACCAGTGCCATCCATATCTAAGGGAACTAACCTAAAAAGGACACCTATGGTTCCCAACTGCCGTGGGAGTTTGGTGAGGAACCCACACTTCCTAGTGGCATGTTGGTGAGTGTGTCGAACGTCATCCCCCTTCACTACACATGAAAGTACATGTGCATGCTCAAGTCAACTTGTGCAAAAGACACGCATAAGCACAGCACCTGATGTCTATTACCTCTTGCTCTCTTGGCTCTTCCAGGGTGAATATACCTCTCATGCCAGCATCGGCCAGCAAAGGTTTGGGGCCATGCACGTCGCTGCGTCCAACATCTATATCGCCTTTGCCTTCATGCATAAGTTGGCCTTCATGGCCATGTCGGTCAAAATTAGGTACGGGTAAATGGAACCCGGGTAAATGGAACCAAGGCCTAAAACCTGCGGCTTTTGCCTTGTGAGTGTGGGGCTATGAACGGATGACCACATTCTCAGTGAACCCGAGCAACCAACTGCTGTGTCATTGCGCCTGAGGCAGGTTTGCTTGGCAGGGTTGACCCCGCGCCCCGGGCCCCTGGAACAAAATACGCTGGTTTTGCATTTTGAAGTCGCAAAGGCTTTGTGAAACAAATGTCAATTGCCTTGATGGCAAGGTGCCTTTCGCATAGATTTGCCCTCCTTGGCACAATTGAGGTGCGGTTCGGAAACAGAAATGGGACCCCAACAATTTGGCGTCCTTTTGGTTCCCTTCAATCAAACCTATGACATGGGGGGGCCCTTGCAACTGAGCGACCTCCTCGAAAAAAGTGTTTTTTCCTTCATGGCGGTCGACCACAGACATCCCAGAAGTGGATTCCGTGCAGACGCGCAGCCGGCTGCGCTACCGTTAGAATTCTGCTCACCAAATCCGCATAATTCTCCGCCATGGTCCCCCTGCGACCAAGCACGAGATCCGAAACTCACTTCCTGAGTTGATGGGCCAACAAAAGTCAACACCATTTAGTTTAGGGTGATTCATAATTCAAGAAAAGAAACCTACCAACAAATCCCCAACCAACCCAACCGCCCCAACCGACCCATCTCCCGATCTCCCAAACTTGCTTACCCACCAAAATGGTCCGCTCAAGCTCAGGAACCCACAGAAGGATACCCACAAATGGTGGTCATAGACTGGTCATGTTGGCCAAGCCAATCGGATCACTTGAATTGCTGGGACTGGGACCTCCAGCAAAAAATCCGTCTCGGGACTCCGTTGAACAAGCTAAGATTCGGCGTTCGGTTTCCCAATTCCAAAAGAGAACCTCCCCAAACAAATGGCTCAGTTGCAAAAAGGACCCAGTGGACCAAACAAGGGAAATCAAAAGCTTAAAAGGTCAGCTTTGGGCAAGTGAGATGGACATCAGGTCGATTTCAAGTTTGAGATAGGCAAAGATCGACCGTTCTACACTCCCGTTGCACAATCAATAATTCACCCAGTGCTTCCAGCTACTATAAAATTCACCAGGAGAATCCATGACAAACAAATCCTAGAGGCAAAAGGCCTTGCCTACCGTGCCGAAACGCCAAGCGGGTGGGGTCTGGGCAAATGGAAAAGGGGGGAGGGGCCCTTAAAATACGCGGCAGCAGGAAAATCTGCAGGAAAACAACGTGTCGTTGGTGGTAGAATGTCCCAGTTCGGAGGTTTGCGACATTTCTTCCGGGCTGACTGGTATGGGAGGTCTTGGGGAGCACCTTAGCTCCACCTGAGGGACCAACCTGATCTGGCCCCCTTACCATGATCAAAGTCACCCCCCAAGTGATAGGCCAAAGGGACACAGCCCCAGTGGCTCACGTTGATAACCCCAAGCAGTCAAACTCATCACCCCAGTCTCAGGGAGTTTAAAGGGCTGTCTTGGGAAGAACCGTTTTGGGATCTCTAAAAGGAAGCCATGGATGGTTGCTAAGGGGTCATTCCAACCCGTGGACGGTTGATATGTCGTTCACATCGAGCCGCAAGTTGCGACGCCGTCCCAGCTAAAACCAGGCCAGCGTAAACGCTGGGTGCCGGCGCCAGGTGAACTGGTTACCGCCCAAATACGTACAACACACCCACCCGGCAGTTCAACCATTGAAATAATGGTGGACCCAATTTAGATGATAAGACTCCCTAGGTAAATCATGGTGGCTATATCACCCCTCATCGTTTTTTCATGGCGGGTTTGAACCTCAGGGCCCAGATTGATACCACAAAGGCGTTTCTGATGCGACTGGCATCTCTGCCTTGGGAGTTCCACTCTGATGGCCTAGCGTTTTGTTTCCAATTGGCTTCCTGGTGAACTTGCGCTCTCCTACCCGCGAAGCCTTGCTTGAACGTCACACGCAAGCCTGCAAGACCGCTGGTCACCAAAACAGACTCAGACCGAGCTCTGTTGGGGGCTCTTGATTCCCTATTGCTTCTTCCCCCGTCAGGGCAAGCAGTAACCAGCGACGCCAGCTTACTTGGCCGCAATGGCCGCCCTTTGCCCCCGAATGACTTAGGGGCCATCCGATCCGCTTGCCCCGATCCGCTTGGCTAAGCCATTGGTCTCCCCCGAACCATCCCCCGAACCCGCCTGAGCCTAAGCTCACAGCCTCTGGAGCCAAAAACTTCGCAGCTCGCGGAGTTTGGATCGAGTTTCTGTCCGTTCGTCGAATTGCCAGCGTAGCCTTTGTCGAGGCTCACTTCTCTCTATGTTCCTTGCATCTTCAAACCTAACCAAACAGAAACACACCCCACACAAAGTGATCCACAAGGGGAAATACGATCAGAGCCCTGGAACGCCCCTAAATCTCACAACTTGGGGGGGAAGGTCGTTTCGCTCCAAACCAAAAAGGGAACACCAGCATACTCTGTGCGGAAGCAGGGCACTTGGAAAGTCAAAGTCAGCCTCCAGGTCCAGGGGCAAACAGCCAAGAAGCCGCACCCGAATCATGCGCCCAGGACGCCCCTTTTGAGGGTTGACTTTTTTGAAACCCACCACAGAGAGGATCACGGCTGGTGGTTTGAGGATCACAAGGGAAGAACGGGGTGGCCGGGTCAAAATCAAAAAGCAACAGGGTGAAAACCAAGGTTCTACTCGGGCTTGGTCACCTCTTCAAGGCTGATAGCAAAATGTGCAAAACAAAAACCAAACGAACAGGGGTGAGCTTGTCTTGTCCCCATCGCTCACGCTTGCGAGGGAATTCTCAGACCTCTCGTCGGCTCCTCCGGACTCTGGACATCGCCCACGCCGTTGGTAAAGTGACCTGGCCAAAGGGAACCCACCGCGAATGTTGGGCAACGGGATCTGAAGTTGAGAGTTTAGAATAAGAGTACCAACTTTTTTCGGTAGTCTATTTTACTAGGGGAACCCTCCCCCAAGAAAAGGGGTGAGGAAGGGCACCAATTGCTGGGGGACCTAGTTGGGCAACGGGATTTTTCTGGAAGGGGAGCCTTTTGCGGTCCTTCCAATGTCCATTGAAATACAATCATTGAAACCCAAAGCAGACGCGGGCAAACTCATAGCTTTTGGGAAAAGAATCAGGGGTCACAAAGCACATGTTTCGGGGAACCCACCTAAACAAAGGCAGGCGCAAACCTGTGTTTTGGGTAAAGCCCTAGCTAAACAAACTAGACAGAACCCTTTGTTGGAGGGAAACGGGGTAAACAAGAACTGGATAAACAGCTTGCAGGTCAGGCTTTACGGGCAAACCAGGCAAGAGGTTGACACAATGTGAAGTTAGCGATGCTCTCCCAATTGTTATATTAAATTTTGCAAAAGAGTACTCTCCAAATAGAGAGCACCTTATGGTATGTGCACTGGATTCGCAAACCAAAGGGTCTAGGTTGGGTGGGTTTAGGGTGGGTTTAGGTTGGCTAGGGTTGGTTCATGGTGGGTTCCAGGCTTGTTTAAGGCAAGTTCAGGGGTGGCTGCGCTTAGGTACTGGATGGTTTAGTGCTGATTTATGGTGGGCTTCTTGGGGGTTGGTTCAGGGGTTTAGGGCTGGTTTAGGGTGAGTTTAGAGTTGGTTTAGGCTGTGGTTGTGTTTAGGTGGGATGGTTTAGTGTTGGTTTGGTTTGTTTGGGGGGGGTAGGGGGCGGTTGGTGTCGCGTTTGCTTTGGGCTTCTTCAGGGATTAGTTTGGGTTTAGTGCTGATGTACGGGGGGTTAGGGATTGGTTTTGGGGTTGCTTTAGGGAGCTATAGGGTTTGCTTAGTGGGGGTGGTTTGAGGTTTGAGGTGGGCTTATTAGCAATGGCTTTGTGCTGGTTTAGTGCGCATCGTATAATACAAACCCACTCTAAACCAGCATCAGTACAGAATAATGCAAACTTAGTGCAGACTTAGGGTTGGTTTGGGTGGGGTTCGGGTGGGGTTCGGGATTGGTGTTTGGGGTTTAGGGTTGGTTTAGGGTAGGTTTAGAGTTGAGGGATAGTCTCTTGCTGGTTTAGAGTGGGTTTGTTTAGGGTTTTCTTTAGGGAGTCTTACTGGTTTAAAGCTTTCTTTAGGGTTTCTTTAGGGTTGGCTTTTCAGGTTGGTTCCAGTTTTAGTGGTGGTTTGGGGTGGGTTTCGTGGTTTTTTGGGGCCAAAACGTGAGTTTAGGACCGTGGGCGTTGGATTCATTGGGGTTCGTTGCCTACGAAGAAGCGGGGGGGTTGGGGGGGGCGCTGCAGCCCCCCCCATCTGCAGAAACATGGGAGGGACGAAGCCACCAGCCAGAAATCCCAAAAGCCAAAAGGCGGTGATGCTGGGGTGTCACTGGTGATGCTGAGGATGCGGAAAGCCAAAGCCACAAAGGCCACAAAGTAAAGCCAAAAAGCCAAAAGCCAAAAAGCAAAAAAAGCCAAAAGGTAAAAAAGACCAAAAGCCCAAAAGCCAACAAGCCAAGAAACCAAAAAGCCACAAGCCAAAAGCCAAAAAGCGCAGACTCCAAAAAGACAAAGGCCAAAAGCCAAGAAGCTAAGAAGCCAGATAAGGCAAAATCCAGGAAAACGGAAAAAAAAGCCCTCCCAAACCAAACCTCACCTCCTTTCTCTGGGAAATTATCTGGAGAAAGCAAACCACAAGACATTCCCGTATTCCAAAAATCAGCTTGAAGGTCAAACCCTTGCATGAGGATAAAAACCGGGCAGTTTCAGAGGGTCATTCCAACAACCAAGAGGCGTTTTGGAGGGCTCTGAAATTACACCTGATTTCGTGGACTAGGGATCTTTCAGGGAATCGCCAGTTGGATGCTTCAGTTCGGGCTTCCCTTCCAACTGCACCCCCTCTCTTCTGCACATCACCCCTGAAAGCTTCCAGAACACCCGCCCTCGGCCTAAAAAATCATTCCCCCCCCCCCCCAAGTTTTTTCAAAGACCCCCCCCCCTGGCAAAAAACTGATCCCCCCCCCCCCCAACCCCACCATATATGCTTTTCCAAAGGCCTTTTTTTCGCATCCCCAGCGCCACCGGGCCCCGCCACAGCCCCCCGCCACCTCCCGCGGCTCCTTCCCCGCGCCGCCGCCGGCTCCCCTCGCGCCTGGGATCTTGGCCTCGATGGCCGCCATGATCTTCAGCTCCGCCCCCGCGCGGCCCCAGGGCGGGCCGAAGATGGCCAGGCCTCGAGCGCCGCCGCCGCCGCCGAGTCGATGGAATCGAGATGCGGCGCGTCGAAAAGCGGTGGCTGCTTTTCCCTCCCACCAACACGTCGAAAAGCGGCGGCGACTTTTCCCTCCAACATGGCACCTGACGGTCGCTTTGACAGGAAACTGATCTTCCGGGTACCCTGCCACAGGAGCCATGTTTGTAGGGGGAGGGGAAGAGCACCAACCAACGTGGAAGTGCAAAAAGCCCCTGTAGAAAGACGACGTTCCTCTTGGAAAGGGGCTTTTTGCACTTCCATGTTAGTTGGTGGACCCCTTTAAAGCTGTCAAGTGGGACACCCAGTGACATTCCCCTGTTTTCGGGTTCCTTTGTGGCACCCAGAATTTTCCGAATCCCATCCAATGCATCCGATGGAGCTGGTATGGGTCAAAATTACACCACCGGGGACTGGACCGCAGGTTAAATCGTGCATGTGCATTGCGACCGACCTCCTTTTCAGGTTCCTTCTTATTTCATGTTCTCATGGGCTTGTGTGGTATGTCATTCTTCCAGGTCATGATCAAATGAACATGTCTTTCGACAATCACTATCGTCGTTGACTTTGCTGTTCAAAAAACTTCGAATCAAATAACAAATGCCAGCTTGATCTCTTTTGGCTTATCGAACCCAATTCTCCGCACACCCATCGCAAAACTTGGCATTGTCTCGCACGTGTCACCCCCTTTACATCCCCACCCTCAAATTTGGGAAACCACTCCTTTCTGTGGAAGCAACATAAGACTACCTTTGGGGACCCTGTATTGTTCCTCTGCCCAACATTTATTCGGGGAGCCCTTTACCCAACTCAAACTATTCCAATCAAACAACGTATCGACATGAATAAAAGCATATCACATAGACACATGCATGTGTATATAATATATATATATATATATATCCGCCGACAACAGGCGGCGTGTTGGACATAAGAAATGCTCCTTACCTCTTTACCTGTTACCCCTCCCCTAACCCCTCCCCAGGGGCAGCATTTCAGACTATTGCGGGGGGGGGGTCCACGTACCACGCGGTGATTCGAAGACGCTTCACTAAATCTGTTCATTGTGCGGGCTTGCGCAACTCAGTTTGTCAAAAACATTGGGGTGTCCGGGTGCGCTTTCGCATCCTTAGCAGCTCCAGCGGCACATCGCCAGCATCACCTGCATCATCCGCATCAGCGCCTGCCAAGTGATGCTGGGGATGTTGCTATGCTGGTGAACCCCCCCCCCCAGTTCCTTGTTGAGATCATTTATTTCCCCCCTTTTCCTTCTAAGGCCTTTTCCCACCCTCAGTTCTTCTCCCTTTTTCCTCCCAAAGATCTTTCCCCCCCTTTCCTCCCTAAGTCCTTTTCCCTGAGTTCGTCTCCCTTTGCCTCCCTAAGATCTCTTCCCCCCTTTCCCGCTTAAGATCCTTGCCCCCGTTTCCCCCCTAAGGCCTTTTCCCCCCAAGATCTCCACCCTTCTCTTCCCAAAGTTTTTTTCTCTCTTTCCCGATTGAGATCCTGTCCCCCGATTGCCCCTTAGGGCCTGTTCCCCCCGAGAAAGATTTCCCTTTTCCTCCCAAAGATCTTTTCCCCCCTTTCCCCCTTAAGGCATTTTTTCCCCAGATCTTCTCCCTTTCCTCCCTGAGATCTTTCCCCCCCTTTCGCTGTTGAGATCCTTTCCCCCTTTCCCCCCTTCATTTCCAGATCTTAGGGAGGAAAGGCAGAAGATCTGGGGCAAAAAGGCCTTAGGGGGGAAAGGGGAGAAATGATCTCAACAGGGCAAGGGGTGGAAAAGATCTTCGGGAGGAAAGGGAGAAGATCTGGGGAAAAAAGGCCAACAGGGAAAGGGGGGAAAAGATCTTAGGAAGGAAAAGCGAGAAGCTCTCAGGGGGGAAGGCCTTGGGAGGGAAAGGGGGGAAAGGATCTCAACAGGGAAAGGCTCCCTTTCCTCCTTAAGATCTTTCCCACCCTTTCCCTGTTGAGATCCTTTCCCCCCTTTCCCTCCCAAGGCCTTTCCCCCCCCTGAGAGCTTCTCCCTGTTCCTTCCTAAGATCTTTTCCCCCCTTTCCCTGTTGGGCTTCCCCCCTAAGTCCTTTTCTCCCAGATCTTCTCCCTTTCCTCCCTAAGATCTTCCCCCCCCTTTCCTTCCTAAGATTGTTTCCCCCCTTTCCCTGTTGAGATCCTTCCCACCCTTTCCCCCTGAGGCCTTTCCCCCCCTGAGAGCTTCTCCTTCCTTAGATCTTTCCCCCCTGTCCCTGTTGGCCTTTTTTCCCCCAGATCTTCTCCCTTTCCTCCCTAAGATCTTTTCCACCCCTTTCCCTGTTGAGATCATTTCTCCCCTTTCCCCCCTAAGGCCTTTGCCCCCAGATCTTCTCCCTTTCCTCCCTAAGATCTTTCCCCCCCTTTCCCTGCTCAGATCCTTTCCCCCCTTTCCCCCCTAAGGCCTTTCCCCCCCTGAGATCTTCTCCCTTTTCCTCCCTAAGATCTTTTGCCATTTTTCCCTGTTGAGATCCATCCCCCCTTTCCCCCCTAAGGCCCTTTCTCCCTCTGAGTTTTTCCCTTTTCCTCCCCACGATGTTTTCCCCCCTCTCCCTGTTGAGATCCTTTCCCTCCTTTCCCCCCTAAGGCCTTTTTTCCCCCTGCGATCTTCCCCCTTTTCCTTCCTAAGATCTTTTCCCCCCTTTCCTTGTTGAGATCCTTTCCCGCCCTTTCCCCCCTAAGGCGTTTTCCCCCCCAAGATCTTCTCCCTTTTCCTCCCTAAGATCCTTTGCCCCCTTTCCCTGTTGAGATCCTTTCCCCCCTTTCCCCCCTAAGGCCTTCCCCCCCCTGAGATCTTCTCCCTTGTCCTCCCCAAGATCTTTTCCCCCGAGATCTTCTCCCTTTTCCTCCCTAGGATCTTCTCCCACCTTTCCCTGTTGAGCTCCTTTCCCCCTTTTCCCCCTAAGGCCTTTTCAGATCTTCTCCCTTTTCCTCCCTAAGATCCTTTGCCCCCTGTCCCTGTTGAGATCCTTTCCCCCTTTCCCCCCTAAGGCCTTTTCCCTGCCTGGGACCTTCTCCCTTTTTCACTGAGATCTTTCCCCCCCTTTCCCTGTTGAGATCCTTTCCCCTCTTTCCCCCCTACGGCCTTTCCCCCCGCTGAGATCTTCTTCCTATTCCTCCTTAAGATCCTTTGCCCCCTTTCCCTGTTGAGATCCTTTCCCCCCTTCCCTTTAAGGCCTTTCCAGATCTTCTCCCTTTCCTTCCTAAGATTGTTTCCCCCCTTTCCCTGTTGAGATCCTTCCCACCCTTTCCCCCCTCAGGCCTTTCCCCCCCCTGAGAGCTTCTCCCTTTTCCTTCCTTAGGTCTTTCCCCCCTTTCCCTGTTGGCCTTTTTTCTCCCAGATCTTCTCCCTTTCCGCCCTAAGATCTTTTCCACCCCTTTCCCTGTTGAGATCATTTCTCCCCTTTCCCCCCTAAGGCCTTTGTTTGCAGATCTTCTCCCTTTCCTCCCTAAGATCTTCCCCCCCCCCCCCGCTGAGATCCTTTTCCCCCTTTCCCCCCTAAGGCCTTTCCCCCCCCTGAGAGCTTCTCCCTTTTCCTTCCTAAATCTTTTCCCCCCTTTCCCTGTTGGGCTTTCCCCCCTAAGTCCTTTTCTCCCAGATCTTCTCCCTGAAAGGGAGACGATCTGGGAGATCTTAGGGAGGCAAAGGGAGAAGATCTCAGGGGGGAAAAGGCCTTAGGGGGGAAAGGGGGGAAAGGATCTCAACAGGGAGAGGGGTGAAAACATCTTAGGGAGGAAAAGGGAAAAAAAAACAGAGGGAGAAAAGGCCTTCGGGCGGAAAGGGGGAATGGATCTCAACAAAGAAAGGGGGGCACAAATCTCAGAGGGGAAGGGGGCAAGGGGACAATTCCAAAGGGACGCAAATAAGAAAGCAGGCCTGTAATGTCGGCGGCCTGAGCCGGAGGCACTAAAATATATTTACACATATATGTGTACGGGTATAAACTGCATGCGTATATATATATATGTATATGTATTTGATCATAGGACTGGGTGCCCGCACGCTCCACGTGCTGCTGACGCCCGATTCCTGGTGGCTGACGACACATGACATCTCACATCCCGCCAAAAGAAGAACATCCATGTGTGTGTGTGCGTGTGTCTTGACTGGGCTGTTCCCAAATCCCCAGCTAAAAGCTTAACCTGTGAAACGTTTAAAACAAAAAAATGGCCGGGAACCAAGCTAAAGATCGGATCAGAAAAGTGAACAGCAGAGAACCCATCCCAAAAAGACTCCATGCTTCATCTCATTTGCCGCCTCATAGGTCAATTGGCGGTCTACGCGCATGGATTGCGTGAGGTGAGGGACCGGCATTTGGAGAAAGACCAATATCGGTGTGGCTCGAAACTAAACAGGAGGGGTTACGCAGGTGTTTTTTTCCATGTTTCCACCTACCAGGGTTCCGGTTTGGTACTCGTTTCTTGACCAGCCATATGATTTTGGTTGAGCCAAAAGCCGATGGAGCCTTCTCAAAACGAGGCTCGATCCATGAGACATTCCGCGCGAGGCCCCGAAGCTTCCCAGTTCAGCTCCATTTCTGGACGCTTCGGGAAGGGGGCATTGGCACACCTGGTTGGAGTGGATAGGACAAGGGCAACCAATACCTGCGGGTTGAGCATCGTTCTACTTCAGCTTCGTTTTTGCCCGGCCCCGATGGAACAAACAAACATCATGGTTGATTCTGGCTCATATTTGGGGCAACCTTAAAGCGTAAAATAAGTTCAAAGGATATTGCAGTTGTTTGGAGCCGCCGGTCAAAACGAACCGCCCCAAGGGCCTAGGCCAGGGCTCTGATAGTCGCAGAAGAACATGAGCGTGCCCCACTCCTGGCAGGCGGAAGGCGGCATCTCAGAAAAGCATGAAAACATGTCCATCTCCGTTTTCTGTGCCTTGGAGACATCAAGCATTCAGGGGCGAAACAGAACTCGTCCGTCATCCATCCCCTGTTTCCATGACCCGGAAGAAATCAAACCTTAAAGCTGTGCCCCCCTCCCCTGCCCCCCCAAAAAAAGGACAAACAACAAACAAACGAACGGACAGACAGACAAACAGGCAAACACACATGCCCATGTCAACCCCTTTGGAAGACGGACGCCTCAAGACAAAGGGCGGTAATGTCATGGGTGTTCAAAAAACAAACACACACACACACATGGTGTCTGGAACGAAATAAAGCAATGATCCATCCCGGACCCCTTTGGGTCCTTGTTTGGAACCTCGAACATCTGGGGAGTAAGGCCACACCACTGTCTGCAGGTCAAACGGATTGCATCATCTTGGTTGATTTCCCACATACCATTAATTATTATGTACAGGTTTCCAAAACTGAAAAAGTCTGAGCCTGGCCCACATTGGGAAAACGACAATCATACTTTCAGAATCAGTTTTCAAACTTCGTCCACCCTAATTACAGTAAACCATAGTTTTGGAGGAGACCCAAGTACAAATGCAACCTGGCAGCAAGTCAGGGCAATGTGACCTGATTTGCTAAGTCATCCTTCGTCGGGTAAAGGTTTCTCAGGTACGACAACTAGGGCTTAGGGGGGCCGGCCCTGAGGTCACTTCTTGACAACTAGGTCCTCCAGTAACGAGGGTAGAACGGTACCCTTTATTCTGTAGCTTATGTTAGTAGGGGAACCCTCCCCCAAAACAGGGTAAAAGAGCACTACTGGGGGACCTAGACAATACACCCGCCGGAACTCATCGGTCAAACCGTTTCAAACTCTGCACGGCATCCGAAAAAACCCAACCGCCTGCCTGCTCAAGCCAGTGCTCCCGCTGTTTCCAGGGTTTCCTCTGGTTGTTTACTTCCATTTGGTTAAGACCCCTGGGAAAAAATACATTTTTTCAGTAGCGATAGATTCCCTTCAAAACCAACAGGGGGAAATAAACAACATTCTTAAGCAAATGGAAGTTTACTATAGTGTCGAAACACCACTATAGCACTGGGGTTCAAAAAACAATCCAGCTCCCGATTGTTTGCGCCTGGACCAACCGACAGCTGAGCGTCTTCTCTTCAAAGCCTCGCGTTGCGTTTTTTCCCCAATGGGATCCAGTTTCCATTGGCTTGCCTCAGCATCTGGTTTACGGAGGCTGACACATCCATACGAATGTGGTTCTTGGCGTCAGCCACGCGGTTCGGTCGAACAGAGGAGCTACTTCGCACCGAAATTTAGCACCCAGCTTAATTATTTCTTCCCCAAGTCCATGCATTTTTGTTCTGGAGGTTCTTGCACCCCTCAATCCGCTTTGGCCCTTTCCATCCGCCGACCCGACACCAAACATCCCCCTTCCAGACCCGGCCTCCTCGCAGGCACGCAGGAAGTTGCCGCCGGAGCCTGGCGGTGTTTTTTTTTGGCCGAGCTTCCCAGAATCGCCAGACCGTTTTTGCCCCAGGAAAAAAACAACACTTCAGGAGCTTTCCGCTAGGCCGCGGGAGAAAAAAACAAAATGTCTGGCAGGACACGGGCGACCCAGCGAAATGGTTGCAGCTGGGATCCCCCTTTCTGAGGAAAACAGCTCTTTTTCGGGGCGGGATGTCCAAATGAACGCTGACATGTGCGTTTAAGACTGAACCAAAGAAAAACAAACCATCCTGTCTTCCCAGAAAAAAAAGAACAAACAAACAGTGGGCAAGTGAGACATATCTGCGGGTTTCAATTGACTCCAGAATGCCTACGACCTTTGAAACGCGCCAAAAAGCAACAAGCCCCCTCTCTCAAAGCAAAAGAACGGTGCGGATCGGATCCTCGGATCCCAGCAAAAATGGATATCCAGGACTCGCAGCCAATTCTAGAGGACTCGCAGCCCGTTTCTGCTAGTCCCCCCGATTTGGGGATCAACCCCATCAGAGATCCTTACATCACCTGAGCATTGCAACTTGTAAATGGTGGTGTCCAACTTTATTTTGGTGGAAAAGGCAACATGTTTCAAATGGGCAAAATGTATCTTTTAAGGAGCCCTGCCCATCCCACAAGCCACACCTGCCCCTCACCAACGAACATTGAGGGCCGGGAAGGCGTGTCACAACTTGCAGCCTCAAGCAGGCAGGCATGAATTCCTCACCCGGCATAGCAGTCCGCTTTCTGACTCAACCCGAAACTTCGGGTTTTTCTTTCAGGGGGCCCAGGGTCTAGTTATGCCTCTTTGAAAAAGTTGGGTCCCCCCAAATGCCCGACTTCCGTTTGATGTTGCCCAATGCACATACCGCGCCAAGGCCCTGAATTCTGTTGCCTATGAAACACGAATGCTGACCCCGGATGAATCAACCCCTGGTTACTACCATGGGGGTGTCCCTGGTTTTAGTGGGGCTTCATCACGTTTGGAGGGGAACACACACACACACACATATCAATAAACGGGGGTTCATTCATCCGGGGTCAACATTGCTTGATTCTTGATCTTGCCAGAACAATCGCGGCAAAGGCAAAGGCAACGGCACACGTCCTTTTGAATTCCTCCCCAGACGCAAGAAAAATGGACACGCAGCTCGTCTGCAGGCTCGTGCATTTTGTCCACCTTTTGTTGGGACCACTCCGGCACTCCACGAAGAATGTCGCTTTGAAGGGGGCTTGACCATCTTTCCAGTCAGGGTCCGTCTCGACCACCACCCTCCGGCTCGGAGCCAGGTGCACCACTAACCGAGATCCAATTCCCAAGCCACTCGACCAACGAAGGCTTCGTCCACGGGAAATAGTCAACAAGCACAACATCGCTGGAAAGAATCATGGTATCCTGTTGTTCCTCAAGCACCAAACCATCATGGCAAATCTTCAATTTCCTCCTCCCCGAGGCGATAAAGCGAGTTTCGGCGAGTTTCGGTTCGGTTTCGGCCTGTCACAAAGGCCACGCAGCTGTTGGGCACGTCCATCATGGTAAGGTCCCCATCATCCTCAGAAAATCCGAGCCGGAAGTGTCCAATTCGACGAAAGGGGGACCTCCCCCGCTTCCCCACAAAAACGAGATGCCAGGAGCCCTGTCTGGCTGGCAACATGGCAACCCAAAGCAGCCATGGAAAGCCTGATGGACACCGGGAAATGTTGGGTGAGTTGGTTTTAAAGGGACACGCCACCCTAAACAAACAAGAAAAATGGGGTGGAATCCACACCGCCACTGGGAAAGCATTGCATATGTCTCGCAATGTGAATCTGTGGATTCGTTGCTTCCTGTGATAACTCTCTGGCAAAACCAGTAGATCTCAATTATTCCTACCAGCAGGCAAGCGGCTAGTGTCCGCTTGGTTGCCCACTACGCTGGTAACTGTAAGCACTGGGAGCAGCAAACAAATCCTAGAAATAGAATCCAGGTGACCAAGTCAAATGAGGTGCGGTTGCCGTGGTGTTTCCTTCAAAATCGGCCTAAAGAGGGCAAGGCTCCCAAACAAAAAGGAGCGAGAAAGGCACGGTTAAATTCAAGGCCCTGCCAGGTAGTCGGTTATCCCTTCAAATCTCTGTCAAAGCCAAAAGGGAGCAACGTCAGCAACATAAGCAACCAGACTAAACCAACCAAACCGACACTAAAATATCCAAAAACCAGCCAAGACTCCAATCAACCCCAAATCCAGCACCAACCCAAAGCAGTACCTGAAGCAAGAAACCCGCAAACCTTCCCCGACCCGACGAAAGTTCTCACTTCCCTCCCACCGGAAACCGAGGCGACCACGTGGCTGGAGTCCACATGCACAGGGCCCACTCGTTGGGCTTGGACCTGGCTTCAGTCGCCCCACTTCAGTCGCCCCATCCCCCCATGGGGGGGGCCGTCAACATGCCTCAACCCTCAAAATGATGCCCAGCGGCCATGGGGAAGAAAAAAAGGATCGGCATCCCTTTGGTTGAGTTTAATGGAATTGGAACCCTTCCCCCACAAAAGTCGGAAAACAAGCGGCGGAATCCACTGGGCAACAGAGAAGCAAACTGGGACCTAGCTTCGAACCCCCGCCCCCCCTCCCCCCCGGAAAAACTTTGCTCTGGGCGTCAACCAAACCCAAAATGGAAATGCAATCCGGTCGGTTTCGCAGCCCCAAACGTGTCCAGGTTCCTAGGTCCTAGGTTCCTCGTCATCCCATGCTGCGGTTGGGAAACCAAGTCTCGCCAAGAAACAGGAAAACAAAAGGATTCGAAGCCAGCGAAAACCCCAAATGGCATATGGAACATGTGATACTTACTTCTTAGCTCCGGGAATGTGGGCGTGAACCGGTAATTCCCTCAGAGGAATCCAGTCAGCGGTACAGGTCTTTCCCATGCTCCCGGACCGAAGACCAAGCAATGGGATTGCCTGAGAGTCTATCTCTGGCTCCAGAGGAACCAGCTAGAAGGATTCGGTCTAGCCGATTTCGCCCTGAGTTGACTTCCCGTTTCGCCTTCGCCGGTCTGGGGCGAGCAATTGGACAACTACCGATCCCGCGTGCGCTTCCTTCTGGTTGCAACGGATCAGCGAGCCGGGCCCTTGACAAACACATAGGACGTTTCGACCATTGGAGGGTAGATGGAGAACGGGATATACATATATACATATATATATATATATAATATATGGTACCCCCCCCCCCGCCCCCATGGATCTACCTTCCTTGAGGATTCACTGGTATCTGCAGTGCTTGATGCCTTTTTTGGGGCTTTGGGAAAGCAGCAAAACAAGGTGCACTAAATATATATATATATATCCACTGATTGGGAAATGGACAAACAGGAAACAGATGTCATCTTGAAGGCCCTCAAAAGGTCGCTTCAAGGATATACTAATCCCGCGCATAGAGGTCATCTTCGGCCTTCAAAAAGTCGCTAAAAAAAATCCCCGCCCTCAATCCCCTGAAAAACAAGTTGTGTTCACTTCCTGAGTGGGGTTGGGCTCTAAAACGTTTACCGCCAAGCTGGTCCGGCCCGAAAGGTTTGTGTCAAAGCCCAGAACAAATCGGAAGTGAGCAGCTCAAAACGAGGTGGCCTGTGCTGTACCCCAGTTGTTCCGTGACCCTGGCAGCAAAATGGAAAACCTTTCTTGGGTTGATCATCTTCAGTAAGGAACCCAAACCACTGGGGATTTCAATCAAGAAGCAGCCAAACAAAAGCGCCTGTGGTTCAGTGGGGCATTATGACAAAGAAACCACACATTTGGTGATTGTAACACCAAACAAATAACCAACCAACAGTTCCTCACTTGCTAAACCACCAAGGCGTAAAACCCCCTACAGGCCCTATATACATCCCAAACCCACACACATCCCCCTGGAAAACCGAGAAAAAACAACAAAAAACAACAAAATAACGCGAAATCCCGGAAACCCAAAAATTGCAATGCCCTCCCGCCCCGGCATAGCCCACCCTCAAAACCGCCGTTCGTCTCAGCCCCTGGCCAGGGAGATGTACTTCCGGGCCCTCGCGCACGCCTCCCAACCGGCGTCTGAGGTCACCCAGCGGGGAAAAACGCGAAGAGGAGGACCTCACCTTGCTTTTGGTGGAGTTGGGGAACTTCTTTTGTTTATGGTTGATCGTTTTTTTGGTGGTGGGTTCTGTTTTTGTTTGATTTGTGTGTGTTTTTTGTGGATTTGGGGAACTGACTTTTTGGTTGATAGTTTTCTTTGGTTCACACTTTTATTGGTGGAATTTTGTGGTTGATTGTTTCGGTTGATTTACAGGGGTTCCCCAACATCAACCAAAACAAGCAACCTCAAACAAAAGTCAGAAGTTTCCCTACTTGTTGGTTGAGTTTTTGGGCTTGGCTTGTGAGCCCCTGATGATTTTTGCGGCATTCTCATGGTATCCGTCCCAAGTTGATAAACATGAGTGCGGGATAATTACAAACATTTGGAGGAAGCCGTATGCTGGAACCCTGCCAACCAGTTTCCCTGTTGGGTTCCTGGTCAAAGAAGGGGTGATTTGTTTACGTTTGTCCAGAATCCTTGCCACCCGACACACAATAAGAGACACGTCCCCGTACCAGGAGAGAATCGAAGTCTTCCCGGGGGGGGGGGGGGGGGGGCAAATGCCAAAGGGCCCGCCCAGGGACCCCCCAAATACTTGATAGATCACACCGTTCGGCAAGTTGTTGGCAAGTTGCTGCCCATACACTTGCTAAAGCAAGAAAGAACTCCAGGTTAGCTATCGCTACCTTTCGTGATAAGAAGCTACGGCCAAAGACACAATATCCTTGGCCAGAGGGAACTGCAACATGCCTTGGAGACAGCACAAACAAACAAGCAAGCAAGCAAACAAACGAACACAGGCACAACAAACAGAGTTGTATTCGCAGTTGTTCAGTGACCCTGGAAAAAAGGGAACCCTTTTTGGGGAATACCATTCTTAGTGGGGCAGCCACAAAAAAAAGGGGGACAAAGAATTGGTGCCACTGAACAACTGAGTACCCCATCGTTCTAGGGTCTCTTCCTTTCAAATCCAAATGCAACCAACATCAACCAACGGAGAGATGAATGCTCCGTCTCCCCTTCGGCAGCCAAAACCCCTCCCGTCCTCCTCCGAGCCGGTGACCTCTACGGTATTGTTCCTGGCTCTCCGAAATATGTGGCTGTGGGTCAAAACCCTGTACCCCTAGTGAACATCGAAATAGGTGGTACATGGGTGTTCATCTCCCCAATCCCCACGAAGATAGGTTCTGAAATGGGTGGTGAATTCACCTACCAACCAAAATGGGATCCCATTGGTTTTGACCCACAGCCATATGTGTCAAGAACCTCCCCCCCTATCTTAATTTGGGTCCAGGTGCTAAGGTCGGAGAACCAAAAAGGCGGAGGTTTGGGTAATTCAAACATGTTTGAGCGAGTCTTAGTGATCTACAAATGTTGGAACAAGGAAAAGGAGTTGACAACAGTGGTGAACCATTCCTTCCGCAGAATCCATGCTGGCGCCCCAAGACTAGGTTTCTTCATGGGTGTTTTGACTGCTCAGGTGGTTTTTTCAAGGGCTTGACTCTCTCGCCTCGAAGACGGAAGTGGGAAAGACTCGCATATTTTGTGTGGGTTGGTCTCAAACTCAGATGCCCAGTGACCATGGGAAAACAAGAATCGACCTCTTTTTTGGTTGGTTGACTCAAAGGGACCCCAGGCCCTTCCAAAAAAAAGAAAAAAGGGCACCGCTGGGCAGCTGGGCAAACGTGCAACTCTGTATGACGGGTTTCCTTTGGCTTCCCTTTGAAAAAGCCACCCGCAAAGGCTACCCACAACAAAACAAACATACCCGATGAGGCGCGGTCTCCCAACATCACAACCTGCTATTGCCGGCTATTGGAACACTTTGACCCTGCCATCAGTGTGTCAAATTGACCCAAATGCGCCAGAAACAATGGGAAAATGCAAGATCAAGCAAATGGCCTGCCTGTTTGAATGTCACAGACCTGATGGGGAGGGGGGTCTGGCGTTGTATAAGCCTAGCGTCAGCCCCTACTAAGGCCTTAATCAGGGTGTAGGGAATAGCCCCTCCCCCGCGTAGCCCTCTAATCATCATGACACTGACCACTTGCTGGGCCTTGACTAAAATAATGAGGAGAGCCTGCAAAGAGTCAATGACTTTAGAGTTTGATGACTCAACAAACAAGGACACTTGCGCCGTCTACTACCCAGCAAAATATCATCCCAATTGAGCACACACCGAAGGCTTGCTGCCTTTAACGGGTAATCCGCTGGCATTCGACGTCTCTTGATGGAGCAGCTAAGGTCTGTTCAAATATTCGATCCCTGCGGTCAACTTTGGACTTTTCAGGAGGACAAATATGAATCAGCCATGGTTCCCCTTGTAGTGCCGGCAACTTTTGCTTGGGCATTGCTGTGATTGCATTGTGGTCCAGTACGGTACTCTTGAACGCCACCGCCCGAGTTCTGAGCTCGCTCTTGCCTTTCGGGCTCCAAGTTGAGTAGCTTTCATGCGGAAGTATCCTAAAGACTGGCCGTGTTTCTTCCCCACTGCGCCCCACCAGGCAAAGGACCAACGCTTGCACCAAGCCGACCCGACTCTCCGCAGCTCGCTTCGCCTCTCGTGCAGCTCTAAGCGGGCACCTGACTCGTGTACCAACTCACCCCACGACGTCTACACCTTCCATGGGCTTAAGAGACAGCAGTCTTACCCATGACGTCGGTTGAACCACGATAAAACAAATACAACAACATTTCAAGTTAAACAGAAAACAATCTGCTTGCTTTCTTCGATGCACTTGAGAGAAGTCCTCAGGGAAACTGTTGCTAGGACCCTGGAATGAAAGATCTGCGTAATGTGAGGGTGCCCTTTGAGGGCAGATTCCCTCCATGCATAGACCGCGGGCGACCTTGTGGCATTTGAAAAAGGCCACCCTTGCGACCAACCGAAAAGCAGCCACAGAATCAACCTTGATATCCATCTCAAAGTAAGATCTGAAAAGTAGCAAAAGATCACTGTGTGTGAAGACAGGGGGTCTGGCAAACGCGAAAGATGATCGATGCATCCCAGCGTGTCTGCCTTATCAACACACACACAGATTACTTGGCACCAATCCTCCTCGTCTTCCCAACACCAACAGTAGACTACCAAGCAACTTGTCAGTTGCTCCTTTGATGAATTTGGATTCCTAAATGGCAGTGGGTCAAAAAATAGGTGCCCAAAGTGGAACCCTGGTAAATGGAAATATGGACTAAAACCTGCGGTCCCCTGGTGAATTGATTTTGACCCACACCCAAATGACTGAACATAGTCAACAAAACCAGTTGGACGG